GCCGCCCCCTTCACTTATTATTTATACTAAAATAATAGAACAGTACAAAGACAACTATGCCCTTATAGGGTGGCAAAACATAAAACAACATATATAACACTCATAAACATAATAAAATTTGGACTCACATAACTACTGTGGTCGCCACCTCCTATCTAACAACTAACATAAACCATCTACTCAGAAAAACATCATAAAACTAAATTAATCGTCAACAAAAAAGAAGTATAAAGAAGCCAAACAAAAAAAAAAAAAGATGATCAACAGAAACGGGCTGAAAAATGCAAGAAAAAAACCATACCCAAATTCCCAACCCAAAACAGAAACACTATAAACATAGTCAAAGTTGCTTATAGACAATGTAGGTGCCCATTCCCAAGACCAGCAAACCAACCAAAACACACCTCCAACCATGCCCAGAAGCACCAAACCAAATTATCCTACAAAAAAGGACAATAGCAGCACCTCTGTATTCCTCCAAAAGCCCTGCATCTGTCAATTACTAATATACATCGCATAAACCAGTCCAGAAGAAACAAGTTTAGGTAGGTGGAGATAAATCCTGCATAGTGCCTTGATTCAGAGACAGGACAGATGGAGGCACCATCTTTTTGTGTTTTGAAATGTTTGACCGCCTATATTTAAGTTATAACCATATCAAAGTTCAAACTACTCCTAACCTACTTCCTACCTGAAGTGCTTGATTTGCTTCATCTGGAGATTTCTTTTGGCCACGACGAGCACGCGCTTCCATGTCTTGTAGTTCTTGGTTTAAAGATGCACATTCGACCTGACAAGTAGTTATAATTACATTGAAGAGCTTGAGATTGTCTTCAAATAGAGAACAGGAAAAAGTCTTCCTCTCAGGCACTCATGAACAAAGAACAGGATTTCTATTTTACCTCAAGCAATGCCACCTTCTGTTCTAACTCTGCTGCCCTTGAGGTCCTCTCATCCACCGTTCTCTGAAAAATCATATTACTGTCAAAACTTGCAACAGAATGACATGATTGGCGCAATTTCCAATTAACCGTTGTAAGCTTCTTAATGCAACTGGAAAAGAACAGAACTCAACTACTGTATTGTAGGGGGGGGGGAAGGTTCCCTAAAGATGGGGACTTGTAATAAGTATTAAAAGGGGCTTTGCTTTATTTTTTATGGGGAAGGCTACCAAGCCTTGTATTGCAGTGCCTGGCACAACCTGCTGTACGTGTCATTCCTTTATGAACAGTTAATAAAATGTTCAATGTTATTGATAAAAATGCAACTCGAAAAAGGTAGGGGTGGGGAAGCACAGTTATTGCTATGATGACAAGGGTAATTTCTAAACAACATGGACATGCTTTTTGTATACTGAAAAGGAAGAGACCATGGACCCTACTAAAAAATGGACAAGTAGCACTCTCATGTTGGATATCAGGACCCAGGCTATGTGGGATTTTGAATTGTGTCAGAAGCTTATAGCACGACAACAAAAATGATGAACTCATAAAGTGTGCAACCATGCAGCCGGTTCAATTTCATGCCAATTAGGAGAATGTGGAGGTAAAAGATATTAGAAATCTATGAAGCTATGTTTTGGATTTATAAAGGAACTCTATAATGACAATCACAATCTTATGTTAGTGTTACTCTATTTTCTCAATTTGAAAATTTTCACTTTGAAAAGTATAGTAAACCTCCACATATAGGACAGTTGAGAATAATGAGGTATGCCCAAAAATAATGAACCTAATATGTTATTGTTGATGATACAGCAATAGTTGTTTTGAAATTCCTAAAATGTTCTGTCATTTGAAGATTTTTTCTACCTTTCCTCGACACCATTTTGAGAATATTTAGGCCTTTCATGCTAGACAAATCCTTTACTAAAGAGATCTAGATGAGCAAGAGCTCTCCAATGGCACTTTGTTTGGCATCCAAAAGGCCCACCACATCGTTCTCTATCAAATAAAGCCCCTGTCAAGCGGTGACATGAGGTGCCATATAGGCTCCTTTAGGCTGGCATAGAAGCTGCCACATGAAATATTCCAGTTAATCTGGATCTCTTTTCCTACAAAAGAGAGGGATTTCTTTGCTACAAAACTCAATGAAAAGGCTAATTAACATGACAAGAACAAAGAGCATTAATTGATGCTTAACATGTGCACTTGCAGCCTTGCTCATTTACATGACAAGAACAACTAAAAAAGTTGTCATCTGCCTTGTCCAATGCAAATGGGTGATCAAAATAAATCCTGTTCTCCACTCTACTTGATCTAAGGCCATAGCTTTTTTTCTGAAGGGCAAGGCAATGTATCTTTCTATATGTCAACCTCTGGGATCCCTGTCTTTTGTACTTTTTCATATTTCATTAATAAAATTGCTTCATGTTGCTCATCCAAGAAAAAAACTTTATATGATCAAATAGAAGAACCAAAATTATGTCAATAAAATTACAAAAAAAAATTATGTCGATAAAATTACCAAAAAATTATGTCGATAAAATTACCAAAAAATTATGTCGATAAAATTACCAAAAAATTATGTCGATAAAATTACCAAAATAATTATGTCGATAATGACAAACATCTTTATACCTGGATCCTAGCAAGGGCCGTGGATGCCTCAACAGCTCTATGTTCTAATTCTACTTCCCTTTCCATAGCAGCCTGTTATTCAAAACTTCAAACCGATATAAGAGGAAGTAAAAGAAAACATAAACCATAAAGCACTCATCTGGATAGCTTTGAGAGATTGACCATTTTGGTGGCATTATGTGCTGCACGTTCTTCTTCTGCCCTCCGTTCAGCAGAAGCCAGCTCTTCTCGCAAAGCCTAGTAAATGGGAACATTCTTATGAATTTTCAGAGGTTCTAGATTGATTAACAGAACAAAAAGCTGCCAAGGCTCCAAATAGAACATCTTAGGTGTGCAAAGAAATGATCATCTCACTTGCATCATCCGTGTCTCAGTTAGTTCCCGGTTTCTCATGATGGACTCCATGTTTACCTAGTAAAAAAATATAGAAGTACTGTTATTAAAGTCATAGAAAGGTTGAATTCCAAATTCCAATTAAGAGAATCCATGTAGACAGACGAAATAATAAAGCTTAGCAATATTTGTAGGAAGATCATAGACATGGTTTAGGGCTACCAATTTCCAAAGGTTGTGATTTGACTCTTCATCATGGGTATGATATGATAAAATATGCATCAAATAATAAAAATAATAATAACAAAGGGAAACTCTCTTTTTGCTAATGGGATAAAAGTTTATTGAAAAGAAAAAAATATACATTGTAAAAGCGGGGATTCACCTTAAAAAGAAAACAAATCACTGGAAAAGAATCCCTATACAGTAGCCACAAGATAAAGAGAAACCACTCCTTAAGGAAACTAAAATTTTCAAATCCCTTGAAGACCATGATCCAATCAAGAACAAGATGTAAATGAAATATTTCCCACAAATAAACCCAGGCTCCAAAGTTTACAATGAAACAAAAATTTAAAACCTTGACAAATAGTGCTAAAGAGGGCCATTGCTAATGCAAGTTCAAATCTGAGAGCAACTACTCTGTGCAAAAAAAAAAAAAAAGAAAGAAAAAAGAAACAAAGATTAGGTCTGTATCCAGTCCACCCCTCCCAACACCCCATATAGTGCTAAAGATTTGGCAGGGAAAAGCTACTAGGTTTATGTAAAATAATAGTAACCTTGCATAAGAAGCCTCACTTGATAATAACTGAATCGGGGAATAGAATTAACAATATCAGAAATATACCTGCAGAGAAGCCAGATTTCCTTCAGAAACAGCAGCCTGCTTCTTCAATACATCCATTGAACCCATAAGGGCTTCAATTTCTGAGTTCTTTGCAGCCAAAGCTTCAGCGATATTTGATTCAACCCTTGTCACTTCAATTTTGGATACAGATAATTCTTGCTGTAGCTGCCTCATTTGAGCCTCGTATGAGTTACTTCGTTCTCTCTGTTGAGGTAGCAGGTGTACAATAAAGTACTCTCTCAAGAGCTTTATTCAATATATGAGTTAAATGATGCTTCACTTAATCCCCCCCCCCCAAAATAAATAAATAAATAAAGTAGAAAAAAGTTAGTTTTTCACCTCAGCAACAAGAAGTTCCTCCAGCTGTGCATTTTCGGATTTGAATTCTTTAAGACGGGATGAAAGTCCAGCAACAACCTGAACATTGGTGGCACAGAAATTGATGAAAGACATAAAGATGAACCAACAAAGAAAGTCATGGCTATACATATACTTTATATGCCTATCCATGAAACAAGTCTGACAACAACAAGAATGAGGAGAAAATAGTCTTACACATTCTTCTGAAACAAGAAGAGGCATGAAGACATGCATAAACATATTGCATATTGTCTCTTCTTAATCCAATATCTAATTGCAACTTTTGCTAATTTGGGTTGCACAAAATGATCAAGAATTAAAATATTCAGCAACAAAATTTGAAAGTAATTCCACTCAAAAGTTTGCAAATTATTGTACTTGCATAGTAATTCCACTCAAAAGTTTGCAAATTATTGTACTTGCATTTTACAGTTTCAGGCACTTAGTAATTTCAATTATACATCACTAGCATCAATGTTACTATTATTTTATCAATAATAGTAGATGGTTATTATTTTACCATCATCGTTATTATTGAGCTCCATCATAAGTTAAGCAATAAAGATGGAGCAAACAGAATTTATAAACTAGCAAAGATAAGAGAAAGGAAGCTTGCCATGAATGTGTTATTTCTCAACCAAAAAAAATTGATGAGAGAAAGGAAAGACAGATTTAAACCATGCCAGGTGCATTAAAAGAAGAAGATCAAAGAGCCTTGGTAAAAGATGATGAAATCAAGGAATGTAAATTATTAAATGAATAATGTGTAGAGGACACTAATGGAGGAGAGATAGTAATACTAATAGTTGTGTGGAAAAGGAAAGGTTGTCTGGAAATCTGTTCCTGCCGCAGTCATTTGGTCCATCTGGGCTGAAAGAAACAATAGGATTTTCAATAACAAAGTGAAGAACTCAGAGGACCTGATTCATCTTGTTGTGTGTAAGCTGATCTCATGGGTTTCTGTGAATGCTGAGTTCAAGAATATGAATGTATCTGAGTTGTTGAAAACTCATTCTATTTGGAATCTATAATCTGAATTGAGCTCAGCAATCCTGGCCAATCATAGTGTGGCTTGGGAGCAGATGTATTATTTGTGTTTGTCCTTGATAAAATCTTACTTTACCTTTCAAAAAAAAATAGTAATACTAATAGTGTTAAAAATAATGTGTACCTTTGTAAAGTGAAAGAAGCACTGAATAAGATGAAGAAGGGAAAGGTGTTAAGACCCAATGGTATTAAAAATTGAGACAAGGTTACATTCTCTCTGGTGAGAAGTTGTTGCCTCACAATATCATATTCTGAATCCAGACCAGCTAGGAATTCAAAAACCCTGTTGGTTTCAATAAGTTTTGTTAGTGTCGAATGTGTAGGGGTATTTTAGTCTTTATAGTTTTGTTTTAAAGCTGATGTGTAATGTTCTGTTAGTTGGTGTGTCCCATACTTAAGTAGGGGCAAAGGTGTCTTTTGCTCTTATGAGTAGAAACATATAAATTAAATTTGGCCGACTAGAGAGTAATTGAGTTCTCCAGTTCGAACCAAAATTTCTTCACCTCTATTCTTCTTCTACTTCTTCTCTTCTCTCTAGTATCTCTTCAACTTTAATCCTAACAGAATTCTAGTGCAGTTTAGGTTTATAATATGGTATTAGAGCAAGGTTGACAAAATTGAATCTGCCTGGAATTCTGGTTTTCTCGTGTTCAGCCTAGGGTTTTTTACTTTTTTCTTCATCATCGATTGGAGATAGGGAAAAGGGCTGAAAAGGAGTGGTCGCCCTCTTCTCTTGGAGGTTTCTATGCCTCTGGTCAGCAAGTTTGTGGGTGTTTGCAGTGATTTGTAGGAAGCCCCCTTTAATCAATGGTGAGAAGAGGGCTGGTTTGAGTGATGCAGTGAAGTGTTGAGTGCAGATTGATTGTTTGGTGATTAGTAAGTGGGTGCAGATTTCAGTGTGGATCAAAGGGTTAGTAAGTTCCAAGTAGATCGAATGGTTGTGTGGTGAGAATTCAGGTTGTCGTGTAGTAGGGTTTTATGCAGATTTCAGTGTAGATCGAATGGTTAGTGAGTTCCAAGTAGTGTGGTGAGAATTCAGGTAGTCGTGTAAGTAGGGTTGTGGTGTGGAGAGTGAAGAATTCAGCGATAAGTGGTGCTGAGTGCAGTGTGGTGAGAGGTGATTTAGAAAGAAAAAAATTAGATATGGGAGATAACAGTGAAAACAAAACTAGTGTGATGGTTCCCACCGACTACCTGAATGTTCAGATGACTTCTATCAAGTTGGATGGGGAGAACTATGTGCCTTGGGCGAAATCTGCAGAAGTCTTTTTTAAAGCTAAGAAGAAAGTGAAGCATATAAGGGAAGAAAAAACCTCTACTGAGTCTCATGAGTATGGTGATTGGGAACAAGAGAATGCATAGATTATAACTTGGTTATGGAATAGTATGGAACCCAAGATCAGTATGAACTTCATGTTTCTTGATACAGCCAAGGAAATTTGGGACCATGCTAAGAAGTTGTATTCGGGATAAAACAACACAACTAGAGTGTATCAGCTTTATCAAGAATACTTTAATCTGCAATAGGGTGATCAGAGTCTTGAGGAGTACTATGCTAGCATGAGAAACCTTCACAATGAGCTGAATGTGTACCATCCCCTCACTCCTGATGTTAAAATTCAGCAACAACAAAGAGAACAACTAAATGTGACCAGATTTTTGGTAGGACTAAAACCTGAATATGAATAAGTGAGGGCACAAATACTAGGAGGGTCGGCTCTTCCATCTTTAGAAGAGGTGTTTGCTCGTCTTCGGAGGATCTCTATTGGACCTACAGAGAATTCTAGTATATCTGACAGGTCGGCCTTTGCAGTGTCAAGAAGAGGAGGCCGTGGTGTTAGAGGTGGAGCTCGGGGAGCTCAATTTGGCCGTAGTGGTGGCAGTGAACCACTGCATGGTCGTAGAGGTGGTGGTGGAACTATGTATACTCTCTCAGTGCCCAACATCACACTCTGTTACCCTTGCTAATGGTTCCACATCTTCCATTTGTGGTGTTGGTAATGTTAACATAGACCCTTTATCTTTATCCTCAGTTTTGTATGTTCCCAAGTTTCCTTTTAACTTTATGTCTGTTAGTAAGTTGACCAAGTCCCTTAATTGCTCTATCACTTTTTACCCTTGTGTTTTTTAGGATCTCAAGAAGGGGACGAGGATTGGTGGAGGGCATGAAGCTGGTGGACTGTATTATCTTGATGGTGGTGGCAGTGCGTCAATAACTCTTTAGACATCTCTTTCTCCTCTTCAGTGGCACTGTCGATTTGGTCATCCATCATTTAAAGTTTTGCAGTCTCTTGTTTCGTTGTTGAGTCATCTTTCTGTTTTGGATTGTGAGTCATGTCAGTTGAGGAAACATCATTGTGCTCCCTTTAGTCCTAGGGTTGATAATTGTATGTCGAGTCCTTTTTTCTTTAGTTCATTTAGATGTTTGGGGTCCAAATAAAATAATGTCATACAATGGTTATAAATACTTTGTTATTTTTGTTGATGATTATTCAATGATGATGTGGCTTTACCTAATGAAAGAAATTAGTGAATTGTTTTTCATTTTCCAAAAATTTTATGCTGAAATTCGCAACCAATTTGGTGTCCACATTAAGATTCTCTATTCCGATAATGGCCATGAAAACTTTTATACACCATTTCAGGAATATTTGGAACAACATGGCATTATCCATCAGACTTCGTGTACCTACACCCCACAACAAAATGGGATAGCTGAGAGAAAGAATCTTCACCTTTTGGAAACTGCTCGATCCCTTATGCACCATATGAATGTACCCAAACCTTTTTGGAGTGATGTTGTGCTTACATCTTGCTTTCTGATTAACCGGATGCTCACGTCCATCCTTGAAGGTCATTCTCCCTTCACCACTTTGTTTCCTATCTTGTCTCCATTTCCCCTTGCTCCTCGGGTTTTTTGGTGTGTTTGTTTTGTTCATAATCTAGGACCGGGAAGGGACACGTTAGATGCACGATCCATTAAGTGTATCTTCCTCGGCTATTCCCGGACCCAGAAAGGGTATAAGTGTTATAACCCTAGTTCCCAATGTTCCTTTGTGTGTGTTGATGTTACTTTCTTTGAGTCTACTCCATTTTTCTCGGGGTCAGGTGATGTTTCTTCGTCCTCACCACCTCCTCCTCTTCAAGTTCCAGTTGAGGACCCCATTCCACTTATTCCGGCTATGACCAAGTCTTTGCCTCCGGTGCAACTTCCTGTTGAACGACCACCTATTCGTCAAGTGTATACACATCGACAACATGTACCGGTTCCTCCTCCAGCTCTATCACCGCCGACAGATCCGACAGTTGTTCCCACACTAGCCCCAATCCCAATTTCTTATCTTGATCTTCTGATTGCCTTGCGGAAAGGTAAACACAATTGCACTCTTCATCCTATTTCTAATTATGTTTCTGTCACTCAACCCCAGGGTGGCGCCATGCAATGGAAGAACTCTCTGCCTTAACTCATAATCATATGTGGGATTTCACCACACTTCCTCTTGGTAAGCAGGTTGTCGGTTGTAAGTGGGTGTACACTATTAAGTATCTACCTGATAGTAGTGTAGAGTGGTTAAAAGCTAGATTGGTTGCCAAAGGGTATTCCCAAACATATGGTATTGACTACACGAAGACCTTCTCTACTGTTGCTAAAATTGGTTTAGTTCGTGTTGTGATATCTTTAGCTGCTATGTATGATTGGCCTCTCTTTCAGTTTGACATCAAGAACGCTTTCTTACATGGTGATCTACTTGAGGAAGTCTACATGGAGCAACCATCGGGGTTTGTTGCTCAGGGGGAGGATGGTAAGGTGTGCAAACTAAAGAAGGCCATTTATGGACTTAAACAGTCTCCTCGTGCGTGGTTTGGTAGGTTCAGTGAAGTGGTAAAGAAGTTTGGTATGAAACAGTGTCAGGTTGATCACTCAGTCTTCAGTTATGACTCGTAGGCTTGAAAGATCTTATTGGTGGTATATGTAGACGATATTGTCATTACCGGGAGCGATAGATTAGGAACTGATAGGTTGAAGATCTTTCTACAGGAACACTTTCAAACAAAGGATCTGGGTAAACTAAAATATTTATTGGGGATAGAAGTAGCAAGGCCTAAGGATGCTATTAATTTGTGCCAAAGGAAATATGTTCTTAATTTGTTGGAAGAAACAGGATTATTAGGTGCCAAACCAGCTAAAACACCTATGGAATCAAATACTAAGCTGAGCAGTGATATGGGTGAAGAGTTTGAAGATCCTAGAAGGTACAAGCAGTTGGTGGGTAAACTAAACTACCTAACCATTATCCGGCCAGATATTTCATTTGCAGTTAGTGTGGTGATTCAGTTCATGCAGAAACCTCGGGTTCCACATTGGGATGTAGTTCTAAGGATTGTAAGGTATTTGAAGAGAGCTCCTAGTCATGGCTTGATATATGAGAGTGGAGGAAAACTTGAAATAGAGGGATATACTGATGCTAATTGGATTGACTCTGTATCTGATAGAAGATCCACTACAGGTTATTGCACTTTCCTTGGGGGTAATATGGTGACATGGAAAAGTAAGAAACAGGCAGTTGTGGCAAGAAGCAGTGTAGAAGAAGAATATAGAGCCATGGCACATACCACTTGTGAATTAGTGTGGCTGAGAACTTCTACAGGAGATGGGATATTTGATTGACACTCCAATGAAGCTTTATTGTGACAACCAAGCTACAGCCCACATCTCTTCTAATCCGGTATTTTATGAGAGAACAAAGCACATAGAAGTTGACTATCACTTTGTGAGAGAGAAGGTGCTGAGTGGACTGCATATGTTAACACAGGAAATCAATGGGCAGATCTGTTCACCAAAGGGTTGAGTCGGGGGAGAGTGGACTACATATGTAACAAGCTGAGACTATATGATATATACTGACCAGCTTGAGGGAGAGTGTTAGTGTCGACTGTGTAGGGGTATTTTAGTCTTTATAGTTTTGTTTTAAAGCTGATGTATAATGTTCTGTTAGTTGGTGTTTCCCATACTTAAGTAGGGGCAAAGGTGTCTTTTGCTCTTATGAGTAGAAACATATAAATTAAATCTGGCCGACTAGAGAGTAATTGAGTTCTCCAATTCGAACCAGAATTTCTTCATCTCTAATCTTCTCTCTTCTTCTTCTACTTCTTCTCTTCTCTCTAGTATCTCTTCAACTTTAATTCTAACAGAATTCTAGTGTAGATTAGGTTTATAATAAGTTTTTTATATGTTGTTGCATCTTTTTGACTTTCCCATTCATTTGTCTACAAGTTATCAATTTCATGCTACAGAGATTTCAAGGTAAAGATTCTAGAGAAGTAAACCGAGACTAGTTTCTCTCCTTGCTTGATATTATTTACTTCACACTTCAGTTCATAGACTCTAACAATATTAAGAGGGTGGGAGTAGGTTTCTTTCATGGTTTCCTAAATTTCATTAGCTGTTTTTGCCCACAAATAATTTCAGCTAATGTGAGGCTGCATAGAATTACACAACTAAGTCATAACCAAATAGTTTCTCCTAAACCCATTTGGCATATGATGGGTCTTCGTTGGCTGGCCTCTTTATATCCCCCATCACATAGCCTAATTTTCCTCTACCCCCAATAGCCATCATAGCTGATTGAGCTCATTCCAAGTAATTAGAACCATCGAATCTAACAGTGGTAATCTGAAAAGTGTTTTCAGTCATGTTTCCAGTCCCCAAAACACCTTCCCCTTAAGTCTTTAACTCAGTTCCAGTCATCTCCATTAAGTAGGCTGCCGAACAATCTCAATTTCCAAGAAGAACAACACAAGTACAGCCCTTTTCTATGCTGAAACAGATATAATAACCACCCAGAAATTATTAACAGTCAATTCTGAACTCTCTATTAGTCAGAATACTAGGGTTGAGATCAGAAAACTGATCGTAGGGTTAGGAAAGCCCTAGAAGAAATTTTGAGAAAACAGAAAATTATCAGCCGCTCCTTCCAGGTAAGTCCAAACAGTTTCTAACCTGTGTCAATCTCAAAGGAAGAGAAAAACTCACCCAGAAAATTCTGATCGCCACTTCCAGTCCTTAGATTAAACCTTAATCTTGAATTTTTTGTCCTTCTCTGATTCTTCCTAATCACCGGGCACTTCCCAAGGCTCTACAAACCCTTGGGCACTTAATAAACTCTCCAATAACCTTCCAAAAATCAGGTGGTGCTGTTAAACTTCTAGCCTTAGGAAGTTCTCATGCAGTTGGCTGGACCAGACACACATGAGAATCCTAACCAACCCCAGGTTGGCTCTGATACCAAGCTGACTGATAAGGACTGTGAACAGTCCACCTTCTGATATGAACTCATTAAGAAAAAGAAGAAAAAAGTAGAAGAGAAGAGAGAGAATAGAAGAAGAAGAAGTAAGAGAACAGAAAAGAGTGCTGGGTTGGCTAGACTTGCCACCCCAGTCAACTATATAAGTTTGTAACTTAAAAGTAGGTGTAGTTCCATAACTACCTCTGCCGCCTACATAAGAAAAGAAAAAACAGAAAACTGAGTTGTCATAACTAACATAACTACCACCAACAACATAAACATAAAGATAACATAAAGTGAACCACATTAATAGCTATTGCTCCACATCTCTACAAGTAGTACAGAAAATCATCAAATTGATGCTGAACTTTCAAACTCTCTGTAAGGAAAGTGATAAATAATTGTTAAACATGTATCTGTAGTTTTTTTTTGATAAATATGTATCCATAGTTAGATCATGGTTATATTAGGATTTGTTTCTTAGTTAACCGAGAAGATGTGGTTTCTCACATTTTTTCAATTAACACATTGCATGAGTTTGTTAAAAATAATAACAGCGCTGGATCTTACCCTCTGTAAGGAAAGTGATAAATAATTGTTAAACATGTATCTGTAGTTTTTTTTGATAAATATGTATCCATAGTTAGATCATGGTTATATTAGGATTTGTTTCTTAGTTAACCGAGAAGATGTGGTTTCTCACATTTTTTCAATTAACACATTGCATGAGTTTGTTAAAAATAATAACAGTGCTGGATCTTACCCTGGCTAACCTGGCTTCTTTTGATTGTCCAGTAGGAATTGCACTCTTAAGCAGTCCTTGAGCCTGCAAATCAACTAAAGGGACCATTCAATGCTAAAAATAAATAGAAAATATGTAAAAGGATGCAAAGTGATGACCAATAAAATAATCCAAAGCTTTTCACAAAATACATACTTTACCTCATCAAGTTGGTCTTGGACTCTCATTGGAGAAGTATCAGTTTTATTCTCCTGCTGCATTTTAGAATGAGAAAGAGGTTCTTCCTTGACATCTGTGTCTTTAACTTGTGTACCACTGTTATTTTGTGTTCCCAGACCTTCAGACTCAGATTTCTCTTGGTCATTCTTTAAAGAAACATCCTCATCTGCCAACTTAACATTTTGGGCAGCATCCACTGGATGATCTGAATGAACAGCCTCAACTTCTGTGGCTGTTAACAGTGCAGAAGAGGAGCTTTCATGCCCATCTGAAGTTCCCACAGTAGCAAGATCACCATTTACAGATGAAGTGACAATTCCACCATCAGTAACTGTATCTGGAACCTCTTTTATATGATCATCCTCATGTTTGCTCAAATCTTTTGGAAGGACTTCAGATAAAGAAATGTCTGATACAGGGGCATCTCTATTAATATCTAGTTGCAGGTCTTTGCTTGTCTGAGCTGTAGAGCCACTGGACAGGGTACCAATGTTACATGATGCCAGATCCAGTTTATCTTTATTAGGTATGACATCATTTGCTGATTCATGCATGCTGGTTTGGAACCATCCAGTATCAGTTGTTTTAGGAAGTTCATTAGTTGAGAGTCTTTTCTGAGCCTGCAGAATTAATGTGTTTGACACCCATTGAGATAAAATGAGAAATAACACAAATCAAGTTGTTTCATGTAGGGGTGCAATTGAGTTTAGCCAAACTGAACTTCTACATGTCTTGGCTTGGTTTAGATAAAATACTATTAGGCTCGAGCTCAAGTTCAAATTCGATTCAAACTCTATTTCTTGGTCCGAGCTCGGTTCGATTAAATATTCGATAAGCTCGAGTTCAGATTGAAAGCTCAAAAATGAATACATTTTTATATTATATATATGATATATTTTTTATAATATATGGTATATTCTTACATTATATATAAAACAATAAAATATATTTTTCATAATACATATTTTTTATCAATAATTTTTCATAATACATATTATAAAATATATTTTAATATTATATAATATATGTATATGTTAATCGAGCCAAGCTTACGAGCTTTCAAGCCAAACTTTTATTGGTTGAGCTCGAGTTTGAATAACTAATTGAGCTTACTTTAAGATTCTAACTCGATTAGAATCAAACTCGAATCAAGCCTGAACAATTCGATTAGAGCTCGGTTTGATAGCAGCCCTAGTTTCATGGCATGAACATATTTAAGTGCAATTCAAAAGTCAAAGATGCTTCAGTAGAAACCTTCTCCTTTGATTTGGTCCTCCTGGGTTGAGATTCTTGTCCATTGGATACTTATCAATTGCCAAAACAGAAAAAGGAAATGAGAAAAATCAGATTCTCTTGAATAAGAATTGAGATAGGTCAATAAAAGAATGGATGGATACACAAAAGGAGGGTAGCTTCACCAAATAGAAAGATTTGTTCTTGACAGGGTGAATATATCTAAGAGATTATTGAGAACTCTACCTGGTGGCAGCGAGTCAGACTGCTCATCCGACAACTCACCAACAACCAACTTTGCTCTTCGATCTACAACTTCCAACAAATCTGGTACAAAAGTTAAATTTATCTTAGATTAACAATGGTATCCAAATCCTGGTCTTGACATTTAACCATGAAAAGATACACTAAGAAAATAAAATTTGATTGTAGACAGTCAAACTAGTTTTTTGTCCATCAATACAGACAAAAGAGCTTCCACAACTAGCTGTTTTCATGAAACCTTTTACCTTTACACTAATAAATACAATATATCATATTTTTCTGAGAAAGGATAATTTTATAATATATTTTATATTACCTCATTACAAATAAAAGTTTTAGCTGCTTTCAAGTGGTCCATAAAAGTGTTCATGGTCTCCTTTCATCTAGGTGCAACTTAAACAATTAGAAAGTCAAATCCTTAATTAGGTTGTCAGGAAGACTAAAAAAGTTGAATTGGTAACTAGAAAACATTACCAAATCTAGGATGCAACCAGATGATGACAGATGACTAACAGGTTCACCATCCTCCTTGCATGGTAGAAAACACCAGGGGAAGTTCCTCCTCTGAATTATGTTACCCAATTATCGCAAGAGCATTGATAGGTAAGATGCCAGACACAATTCAAACTAAAGCTTGAAGTATCCACATGTTACAACACACTTGTACAAAGTATCTGGGTATCATAGCCTCTGAAGTATATGACAAGGGTTCACTTAAGAGATACCTCCCATTCAATGTCTTGTCACTAGTAGATGGTTTGAAATGATGGATCTCAATTTGAAAATCTAGAACTTATAACTTAAGAAACCTGACAAGAAAACAACCATTGTATTCTAATGTCCACATTATGGCCCAAGTGTTTGCTGTGGCAGTTTGTGTTTTGTATAGCTTTTGGCTTTTCTGGGATTTCATCCTTTCCTATATAGAACTTTGTTACTGAAGAAAACAAACAAATCACAAGCCAACAGAAGCTAAGAAGAAGTTCTATATCTAAGTGCATCTATGTGTAGGTATGATACATGTATATATTGATATACAGCATATCATATTTCAAAAGCAATTAAAAAAATTCATCTTAAAGACTAGTGGCAATTACAAGAGCAACCAAAATGTAACAATTAATTTGTGATTATTCTACCACAAAAAAAAAAAAAACTTGTGATCATTCAGTTGTGAAAGCAAATATTTACATTCTATGAATTCCTTTTCACCTTAATGATAGTAAGATGATAATAACCAGATAAAATCATATTATCTAACATTCTTGCATTAAAGTTTTTGGGTAAAGGGTTGGTTTCTTTTTATTTATTTTTATATTTTAAAGTATGTCGGAAGGGTTGGCTGGATCTTGTTTTGGGTATTTTTTTCTTTGGGTGTGGGTGATTTCTTGTCACCTTCCTTGTAATTCTCTTCTTCTTTCAATAAATTTTCTTTTTTTATTTATCTTCGAAAAAAATCTAATATTCTTGCATTGTAAAATTCCTAAACATAATCATCCTGCCCATCTTAGAGATACTCTTAATAAAGAAGAGGATCATAACTTTGTTGCAAACTAATGAACAAAGATAAGATTGGTGAAATGTCCTGCCATTTTTTTTTTCTAAGAAGGAAATGAAATTATATTATACTCACAATGTCCTGTCATTTTGAGTGGTGATCCAATGAGCATACTCTCCTGGAGTAAACCATGAATGCCCTAACATGTTCGTCATTCATTCTCTTTAAAAACTCAGATAGTGAAAAATAATGACAGTACCCGTTTTCAATTCAGTAAATGATAATATTCAATGAGAATGTGCTTAGTAGTTAGTAGATCATCACACCATTATTATATCTTTAAATATTGCTGTTGTAATTCAGATTAATGGCCAAGAAGTTGGTTTTAGTGACCAAACACTGTGGAACTATATATATACTTATTAATAAAACAAAAACTTTTCTGATGGATTTACCAAAGAAAGGTGCAGATCTATAAGGAACCCCACCTAAATGGATGCTATTAAGAAGAGCAAATTTCTATTTTTAGAAAATTATAAAAAGAACATAGAAGTAGATGTGTGCCTATGAGGTGGCTAGTGAGATAATCAGATGACAGACACAGCCTTCTCTGCCCATTTCTGTCACTGACTGCAGTTGCCAGTAACCAACTGAAGTCAATCTTAAGAACCATTTAAGAATTTCCAGATTGGTGTGCATGATGTCTAGTTGTTGCAGTAAACAGCGTAACAGAATGAGAACTCTGTGAGCACAAAATGAACCATGAATGGAGGAATCCGAGAACCAATAGAAATTTACACAAGGTGTACAAGAATGCCTTGGAATTACAAATACCAAAATGTATGTCATGCATACAATGATTAGGTCTCAAAAAAATCATACATGTTTGACAATGGAGAAATCCCAATGAACCATTTTAAAGTTTCAGGAGTGGAATAAAAATATTGTCAAACGTTGTAGACACAAATATGATTTGTCACAGGTATCAGGTATGGCTCTGCCAATTCTTGAATGGAGAAATTTAAAGATTTTTAATGTTAAGAGGTTATTCGCTGATATCATACCAAATTATTTACCCTAGGTTGTCTCTGTTTCCATGCAAAAGACACAAAGAAAAATTTTATGCCCTGAGCCTCTTACTATCGTAAGAGCGAGGTTTAATATTTTGATTTTCCATCCCTTTTACTTTTAAAAGATTACATCCATAAGAGATCACTTTTCTCCATTGGTGATTAACGAGAACTACTTGATGTAAGCCAGAGAGATGCGCAAGAGCGTAAGCTCGTTGTAGAGCCACTCAGGACACGAAATAATAGTTATTATTTTATGTGTTTGATAGGAAAAGAAAATCTGATATAACATAAACTCGTTGTAGAGCCATGCATTGCACGAAATCATGGTTAACATTATTTTATGTATTTATAGAAAAAGAAGATTGATATAGCAAAAGCATTATCCAATGCATGAGAAAAGGAGTATTGTGTTTTCCCAAAATTAATATTGTAAATTAAACTCTAAGCAACATTAAATCCACCAATAACAACTGAAATCTTAGAAACTGATCCCAAAATTTCCCTGCAACGACTCGAATACGACTACAGAAATTCTTTTGATTCATATTCCTCCATCCAAACATCTAGTACTTATAAAATTCAAATCTCAAACAAATAAGAAGAAGATTCGTCATAGTCTCGATTAAATTGATCCAGAATTAGCTTGAAGAATCCTCAAATTAGAAATATGAAGACATCAAAAATCCAAATTCATGCTTGCAGACCTATACCTTACCACAATAAAAAGAATATGGACAAGTGAACCTAAGATCCATACCTTCTGCAACTTTCAGCCACGACGCCATTGATAAAACACGAATTCGATCAGGAAAAGACGGTGCCTATAGACAGAATAGTGCAGTACCGATTCCGAAATAAAGTGAAAAATTATCTGACATTCTCACGCAAAAATCTAAACCCGAGGTAACAAGAGCTTGTATCGAGTTGAAAACAGATGTCGCTTATGGAGCTCTGCAGATCACAAGCACGCTTATACTAGAATGAAAACAGAGGGAAATGGTGGAGAGACAATGAAACTGTTTCGGCTGCAGTTCGCCAGATCTTATTACATGTATGATGTATCTATCAAACTCGGAGCAGTCGTTAGTTAAGATGGTGCTGTTAGGAATGCGTCATCCGGAAGCCAGATAGTCCTCCTATGACTGAGGACCTTTAGATTGGAATCTTTTAATTCGAGATTGATATCTAGGCAAAAAATTGTAGATCAACGGAAATGACAAGCTACCTGTAGATTTAGAGTCTTATCTTTTATACAGAAGGTATAAAGGTTCCAATCTTACGATATAAAGTAAGGAACGTCAAACAAGGGCAGACCGGTAAATGAGAGGACACTATCCGGACACTTTTATATCTTTCCATCTTTTGCTAGTAAATGAGAGTACGGTCAGATACAAAGTAAGGAACGCCAGCCAACAAATGCCCGTCTAGCTCAGTCGGTAGAGCGCAAGGCTCTTAACCTTGTGGTCGTGGGTTCGAGCCCCACGGTGGGCGATTTTTTTATTATTTTTTATTTTATTGCCTCGACCCAATAATAAGCGCAGCCCAATTAAGATATAATCATTTACTTCTAATCTGTTACAAAGTTCCCTTATTACTCATTATTTGAGCCCAGTCAATATGCAGCTTACGTGATGACGTGATGTATTGAATTTTGATTGGTTTCTTAAGGTTCCCACTTCCCACTGTAATTCAATCCTATGGACTTACTTTTATTGGACATAATCCTATATATCATAGTAGGGAGAGGATGACGTATCTCAATGACAATTCAATTTATATGCAAAATTAGATATATGTTTTTTATTTTTTCTTTTTAAAATTTTTGTTCCTCTGTTCTCTTCCACATCACCAAATATTACAATCACGTCTCTCTTAAGTCTTCAAGACTTCTTGTCAACTTTTCCCTATGTTGACAACCAATGACCATACACTAATCCTCAGGGTTCGAGCCCAATTGCCCAACCCACAGTTCAAAGGCCCATATTACAAACCGTGGCAATCCTTCATTACCGACCAAGCTATAAAAATAGACAAGTGAGGAGCGGTGGGAACTGGGAAATGGCAACGAGGAAAGCCCAATAAAACGAGTCCTGGATAGTGGAATTTCTTTTGGTTAGCCCAGCCTGGAAAGCCCAGTAAAACGAGACCTGAGAACCCATGTTTTTGAATTTTGATTTGGAATGGATCAAGAAACACCGCAAATGAATTCATTTTAAAGAAAACCTGGATATGACATCTCGTTCCACTGTTTTACGAACAACCATAGATGGATCCATTATGCTGACTTTGTGCTTTCCTGTAAAAGCAGAATGAAATTCTCGCATTCCTCGTACCTAGATTCTGTCATATAAAACTGGATCACATCATTTTACTTCCTATCTTACTTCTAAACAAATAGCCTTTATATTTTAATTTGTATACCCACTTTGCTCCAATGGGCTTCTTTCCTGGAGGTAGGTCTACTATAGACCAAGCTTTGTTTCTCTCAAGTGCTTGTACTTCTTCGGCCATGGCAAGTTGCCAATTTGGATCACGGGCTGCCTGTGAATAAGAAATGGGCTCAAGGGTTGAGAAGAGGTTAAAACTGAAGCAGATATGGAGCATGACAAGTTGCAAACAAAATCTTTAAGGTGGGTGGGTGGTCTTCTGACACGTTGAGGTCGAGGTGGGTCAATAGGCTCAAAGGATGAGTGTGAATCAGGCCCAATAGGTTGTAAGTCACAGGTTTGATAGGATGATTAGAAGAATTAAGAATAAGGCTCAGATTGGAAAGAGGATAAATGCAAATATGTACAGCATAAATACATACAAAATAATATAAAATATAAAGTTTTGCACTCTACATATTCGCATTTGTACTCCTCCTAAACTAAGCTTAAAGAATTTTGTCTGCTACTCAGCTTGAGGGAGTGGAAACACAATATTTGGGTTGCGAGGATGGTGTAGAGAAGCATTAGCATATGGGAAAATGTGTTCATAAAAGGTTATTTCTATTGAGGTGAATATTTAATGAGTTTTGGGGTTATAAATTCGCTATCTCTTCCGCCCATGTAGATACTCAATGAATATACATCAGGTTTCGAGGTGCAAATTTGTCTGTGTTCAATGGTTGCTCCTGGGCATAACATAGACACCCAAAAGTGCGTAGATGACTGAGTGTAGGATGCCTTCCAAAGAGTAGCTCAAAGAGGGACTTACCTTGAAGTGGAACATCTGGCAAATAGTTGATTATGTATGGTGATGTGAGCACACACTCACCCCAAAAACTAACTGGCAAGGAGGCTTGAAATCACAAGGCACGGGCAACCTCTAATAAGTGCTTGTGCTTTCTCTCAACTCTCCCATTTTCTTGTGGAGAATCAACACAGGACCTTTGATGCACAATTCCATTTTTGAGTAAAGAATAGTTGGATAGTGATGACACGTGATCTGTACTCTCCTAGCTGGAAGGCAGCTTGGATGTTGGTCTAGCACGTGGCCGGTCGAACTGCAAGAAGAACAATATCAGAGGTCCCGGGATGCTTAAACTGGTGTGGGCACTCCGATGCTTAAGTTAGCGAAGAGTGTTGTAGTGAGCTGGTTTGCTTGTAAGTATGAGAGTATGAGAGTTGAATCGTGCGTACCTTATGAGGTTGGAGGTGATGCCCTTACATAGGCGAGTTGTCGTAGGCCTCACAAAACATATCCGAGATTCTCGACCCGCGTAAGTAGGAGTCCGTTTTGCACTCGGAGATGGACTTCGTGTGAGCTGATAAGGCTTATCGAGTTCGTCCAATTCGGGCGGGATAAGGATAAGGCTCGCTGACATGCGGTGTGATCTTGGAAAGATTAGAGACAACTGGCTAGCTTCTAGAAGAGGGTTATTTGGCACCTCAGCAAGTTGGGACACCACAAGCTGCTCGAACCTCGGTCTTACCTGAGCTGTCCGAGGTGCTTGAGCTAACCCTGCCTGCTGAGGTGTTCGAAAATGTTGAGTTTTCATCTAATCATCAGGTCACTCCATGTGTCCACGTACTAACGGGTCAGGCCAAATTACCCCTCATCAGATAGGATCATAGATGGGTTCTTTTCCATTATCAAATCTAACTTGTTGAACATTACACTTGAACTGAATTTGTACCATGCTACAGAGTGAGACGAGTAGAGAAAATGCATCTGACTTAAATTTCATCAAGTACAACCAAGTGCACTTGATGCAATCGTCTACAATAGTCAAAAAATATCTTGCGCCAGAATGGGAGGCCATGTGGTAAGGACCCCATATATCAACATGTATCAAGGTAAAAGTTGAATATACTCTTGACAAGCTTATTAGAAACATAGCTTTGGTATGCTTTGCTCGTTTGCAAGCATCACAAACACCATTGTTGTCTTTGGTGAAATGCTTGTTAAGGAGTGAGGATAACTGGTGAGCAGGAGCATGGCTGAGCCTATTGTTCCACATAATATATTCATCTTTATCAACTTCTGTTGTAGTAGAAGCTGCTATTGAGGTATCAAATTCTAGACAATAAACTTCATCAAGAATATGTCCCTTGTCAAATCATCTTCAAGTGTTGGTCCTATAACACAAGATGTGGAAAAAAAAAAAGAAAGCAACATAGTTAAATTATGCTGTAAGTCTTCTTATAGATAAGAGATTATACTTGAAGTTAGGCACATATAGGACATTCTAAATTACAAGATCAGACCTCAATGTAACTGTTCCTTTATGAGTGGCATGCAAAAGGCAATTATTGGGTAATCTAATAGAGAAAGAAGTTATTAAGGCTTCATAGTGAGTGAACATAGTTTTGTCAGGGGTCATGTGGTCTGAAGCCCCATTCTCTAAAATTCAAATGTTCAAATCTATTAAGGGAGTAGAAGGATCCTTACCGGTCATGGTTGAAGTGGCCAATGGATCTCGATTATCATCATTTAACAGCCTCAACAATTGCTTGTATTGATCTATAGTGAGGGATCCAAGTGATACTTTCTGAGAGCTAGATGATTCACCCTTAACACAGGTTGCATGAGTTGATTTCCCATTCTTGAAATTCTTGGTTGATCGACCCTTCTCCCAATCTTCAAGATAACCGAAGAGTTCAAAGCATCTTTCTCTGGTATGTCTTGTTTTCTTGCAGTGTTCACATTTAGGTTTAGGTCTGATCTGGTTACCACTGTTCCGAGTACCAAATTTATTTGTTGCGATAGAGAAAGCAACAGTAGTATCAACCAGTGGTTCCTTATGAGAAATCATGGCTTGGTGGCGCTCTTCTTGTATAACCATTACATATGCACAATTCACATTCAGAATTAGTTCAGTGTCAAGAATGCTAGATCGAACATTATTGAAGGCATTTGTTAGACCCATAAAGAATTGTAGAACCTTATCTTTCTCATCTTTTGCAATCAATTTTCTTGTAGATCCACAAGTAGGGGTGGCGAATGGGTAGATTGGGTTGGGTTAGGTAAGGGTTGAATATCAACCCACTCATATTGACCCACCAACCCACCATGACTCATAATCAATCATAGTTAAAGGGTCATAACCCACCCTGACCCACCCATATTGACCCTCTTGACCCATCCATATTGACCTTTAACCACCCTCACCCATACTAATCCACCTACCCTCACTTATAAATACAAAAAAGGGTCGGGATGGCCCGTATACACAAAATAATAAATTTTGAGAGAATAATCTCTCTCAAGACTGCCATGTGACGAAAACGCGTCAGGTAACCTGTATACCCGAAAACTCAAAATTGTAGATAAATGTAGAAAATTGAAGAAAAATTACAGAAAATGCAAAAAAAAAAAACAAACAAAAAAATTGTAGAAAATAAAAAAATACCAAAAATTACAAAAAAATATAGAAAGTTCAGAACTTTTGCAAAAAAATCAGAAAATACGCAAAAAATACCAAAAAATGGAGAAATGCAGAAAAGTACCAAAAAAAATTAGAAAATATAGAAAAATTGCAAAAAACCAAAAGAACCAAAAAAATACAAAAAATGCAAAAAATAACAGGAAAATTGTAGAAAATACAAAAAAAATGCATACCTTTTATAAAA